CTCCATATATATATATATGTATAGATATGTATTCATCTATATATACATTAATTAAAATTATTTTAATAATACTTTAATATTTTATAATATAATTAACAAAATGATGTAATATTTTTAACCATAAAATATATATTTTGTTAGATGGTACACATCATAAATATTCATAACTCTCTTATCATAATAATAATAAACAATTATATATGAGATGTAATTTAATCAAGTGGGTCCAAAATGAATAAAATTAAATAATCTAAAATAAATCTCTAATTGAGACTATAGTACAAAATACTTTAAATAAACTCAAGATAGTCCCCATTGCTCACAAGTAAAAATGACCACTAGGTTCTGGAAATGTTCAAAACGATGTAGTTTACTTAAAAAATAATCATTTTATTTTCTGCGACCACAATTCACTTGGTCACCAAAAGTTTAGAAATTTCACCTATTTTTTTTGCTCTCCCGCCACTATACCTTCAACCAACAAAAGGTTCTATATTGGCTACCAAAGAGCTGTTGGTCGCTAAAACTTTGATCATTCGCGACTAAAATTTATTTTGGTCACAGAAAGTAAGCTATTTGTGACCAATTCTGGGTGTAGTTGTGAAATGTAGTTGCCAAAAGGTTTTAAGATCCTTTTTTTTTTTCTTCCCCTCTCCTACCGTTACTTTCCGTGACCATATATATTTTTTTTTGGTCGCAAAAAATTACCTATTAGCTACCAAAATGTCATTGGTCGCAAAAACACAACTCATCAGCGACCAAAAAAATTTTAGTCACAAAATGTCAACTATCTACAACTAACTCAAAAAAGGTGGTCGCCAAAAGTGTTTTTTTCTTGTAGTGAGGGTGCACAAAACAGTGCGATATAAGGTGACTGCAAAAAACAGAGCGATGCAGGGTGCACAAAACAATGCAATACAAGGTGAATGCACAAAACTGTGCGATCCAAGGTGCACAAAATAGTGCGATGCATGGTGCACAAAACAGTGCGATACAAGGTGAATGCATAAAATAGTGCGATGCAGAATACACAAATTAGTGCGATACAAGGTGAATGCACAAAATAGTGCGATGTAAGGTGCACAAAACAGTACGATGCAAGGTGCACAAAAGAGTATGATGTAGGGTAAATGCACAAAACAATGCGATGCAGGGTGCACAAAACAGTGCGATACAAGGTAAATGCACAAAATAATGCGATGCAAGGTACACAAAACAGTGCGATTTAGGGTGCACAAAACAGTGTGATTCCAAGGTGCACAAAACCATGCGATGCAGGGTGCACAAAATAATGTGATCTAGGGTGAATACAAATGCAGTTGATAGTGCTATGCGAAATATGAATGCACAAAACAGTGCTATGAAAGATGAATGCACAAAACAGTACTATGCGAAATGCACAAAACAATGCGATACAAGTGCACAAGACAGTGCATCATGTACATTATGAAATGAGCGTAGGGGAACTTGCCACAATTCATTAAAATGTAACTGAAAAAAACTACGAAAGGTAACTCAATGAAACTCTGTTTTTTACAGCACAAAATCAAGAGTAAGAGTAGCCAATCACACAGTTCAAACAGGGTGTATGAGCATGCATGCACAATCCAAAGCACATGTATTAATCAAAGGAAAGATGGCGATCCTAATAGAGTCTGGAAATGGTCAGAGACAACTTTCAAAAGCTGAATCGTATCAGAATCATCACGGGGGTGAGCTACCCTTATCCAATGGAAAGTGCTCGACAAATGGCTTTGAGCGGACCGAGAGACATGTTGTGTAGGTTAGGTTCATGCCCCTTGTTCAATTGATGACCCGATCAAATGT